TCACGGACGAAGAGGCGATCCAATTGTCGGATGTGATGGAGAGAGCGGTGAAGATAATCGATATGTATATCGATGTCAACAACGATCGCAACGACGAGTTTCAGCTGTTCTATGAGTATGTCTTCAGGCATTGACTTCGTTTGCGATTCAATCGATTCATTTGTTTTTGTTTTTCACTTCTTATGCATCAGTGAAGAGGCGGACAATCGATGGGAACAACAGGAGAGTGAATGGATCACCGAATACGAGGTGTGGGATGTGATGACCCAAAAGCTGATGGATTCGTACGGAAATATACTGAAAGACAAGTTGACACAAGTGTTGGCCGAAGAGACGGAGGCGTTGGCCGAAAGGGAGAGACTTCTGAAGGATTTGACGACATTTACGGCTCAACTCAAGAAAGATCCCAATCTGTCGATACTTTTGACCGAAAATGTCTACGACTTCGAGACCGCAGAAGTCGCTGATAATCAGACAAAGAGTTGAGATTTTTGTAGACATTTCTTATACGGGTATGACTTCATTGTTCGCTATACTGTACTGTATTCTAATGAAATCTCAATGAAAGTCACATTAATGTGAAACAAAACGACAATTAATTACAGTATAAAGTGTTTTCATTAATCCAATGTATTTCTATACTCTTACGTTATAAACATATAACTCTAAACATATACCGTAAACATTATATTCTAATGCAATCTCAATGAGAGTCATACCGGTATTAATGGCAAACAAATGCCTACTAATTTAATTACCGTATATATATAAAGTGTTTTCAATAATACAGTATTTCATTCAACCGGCAATTAATTGCTATTCATTTTCATTAATAAAATAATTTCTACACTCTTTGTACGGTTTAACACTTTCAGACAATACCAACCATTTAATAGGAAACCCTTACAACTGATTTCCCTTTAAATGTGCGTCCATTTCATCAAAACTTGTCGTTTCATAAGTACAGCCCGAATGAGAGCACCGGTAGTCATCTTTGCCAATATGTTTCTTGATGTGTACATTCAAACTGTACGACTCGTATGTCGTAAACTCCCATTCAGGCCAATAGCACCGGTAGGTCGACTGGTTCTTATGCCTCCTCACATGTGTAGCAAAGGCTCGCTTATGGTTAAACAGTTTCTCACACCCAGGCCAATGGCACCGGTAGCTCTCTGTAGCCGTATGTGTATTCATATGTTGTTTACGGGCATCCGAGACGATGAACTCCCGGTCACAGCCGGGCCACTCGCACCGTAACCTCAGTGCCGGGTCGTGACTGCGCTGGTGGTCCTCATACCTCTCTTTGGTTCCGTAGGCCTTCCCACACACGTCGCACTCAAATGGCAGGGTATGGGTGTTGCGCGTGTGGGCCACGAGTTTAACCGTCCACTTCGTCTTAAACGAACAGCCGGTGCTCTCGCACGCATTCTCATGGGGGCCGGCGTTTGGGTCATGTCGGCGCCGGTGTTCGTGAAAACATTTGTGGTCCTTATATCGCTTCCCACACCCGACATAATCGCAAACATACTTCCCGTCCGGTGTCTTCGTGTATACAGTTTTCGGGCGCACCCTCTCATGTCCCGACATGTGCTCCTCTATGGCATCTTTGGATGTCGTCTCATACGCACACCGCCTGACCAAACATCGGAAAGGCTGTCCAAACACGTGATTACCACTACTTATATGTTTCCGGAGCGGCCAAACATTTGCGTAATATTTGCAGCACTCGTCGTAATCACAGAAATACAGTCTACTCGAAGCCTTCACTGCATTAGGAGTTCCTTCGGCCAAAGAATGACTGCATATATGCTCTTCCAGTGCCTCTTTGGATGTCGTTTCGAACAGGCATGTAGTGACCGAACACCTGAATGGTTGTCCCAACACGTGTTTACCACTTGTCTTATGCCGTCATAATCCACTCCTTTCGGAGTAATGTTTACAACAGTTATCGTAATCACAGAAAAATCTTTGTCCCGTATGTGACATCTGGTGCTCTCGAAGCTTTTCACACGTTTGTAAGACTTATCGCAGTTTTCGTAATCGCAGACATATTTTCCCAATATTTTTGTCAATTTATTTTGCGGTTCAAGACTTTCAATGCTTTTATGTTTTCTGTTTCTGGTATTTGTTTCGTAATTATTGTTTGATTTAGTTTTCAAATCGCTTTTGATTTGACTCTCATTTGAATCACTTTTCTCAGCATTTGTTTCATTCAAATCATCACAACTTCTGGACTCTTGTCTATCATTGATGTCTTCATTTTCAGTACACTTTTCATCCATTGATTCATAGCTGACATCGCATTCAATACCTTCCGATTCATTGTCTGAAACCACTTCTTGTTTAACAAACAATTCATCACTTCTTTGACTATCTTTTTCATGCAATTCCTGTCCTATTGTAGTGATAATTGTCTCGTCATTCTTCCGGTTACCACTTATTTCCAATACTATTCATACAATAGATTGAAAACAAATAAATTGTAAATTAAATCATAATTGTGATGAAAACTCATTCATTTGATTACCATTTAAATCATTACTCAAAGAAATACACAAACTTTTAGAGACTTTTAAAGCATTGATTTCTTGAATTAATTGGCAATTAATTTGTTTATTGTTTTGTAAATCAAATAAATATTTTTCGTATTTATTTGACAGCAATTGAAATCTCAATAAATCTGTTGACAAACGACTGATTTCTCGCTTCAATTCATTTATCATTGAATATAACTCTTCGCGACTTAATTGAGACAAATCTCCAGAAGTTTCACTCATTTTGAGCACTAATTTAATTGCAATTAAAACCCAATTTATTTGGAAAATAACGTCAACTTTAAACACAATTGAAATGAAATTTTCATCAAAACATAAATCAAAACATAAACACAAATCCAATGAGAAGTCAATTCACGCTTTCATTCATACAAATCAAAAGTTTACACTTTTGTCAAAAAAGTTGAAAATACTGTAAATCATTGAAATCGTCTTCAAATAATGAATACAATCAATAAATCGTTTATTCAAAACTATTTAAACATTTAATTTATATAAAATTGTAAGCAATAGTAATATCAAAATAATCTTTAAGTACAAAATGTCTCATAAAAACATTATTAACACTATATTCTAATCATTAGTATCTAATGGCAAACAAATGCCAATTAATTACACAAAACATGTTTCCATTAATACTCCAATCAATCGCCAGTTAATTGCCATTCATTTCCATTAAACCAATCATTTCTTAACTTTTTTGATGTGTCTTTTCATATGTCTGTCCAATAGATCCTTACTCTTTGCCACAAACTTACAGCCGGTATGAGAGCACCGCATATCCGGCCCATCAGAATGTCTATCCATATGACGATTGGTCACATCCGGGCCATTGGCACCGCATGTGACGCCCCTTGTTGTGGGTCGCTATGTGTTGCTGTAGTTTCTGGTTATCCATGAATGCATGTCCGCATTGGTCGCACCGGTAGGGCTTTGTATGCTCTCTCCGGAATGTAGATTCAAATGTACTCTCATATACTTATTAGTAGTAAACGTTTGGTCACATCCGGGCCATTGGCACCGGACTCTAAGGGACGGGTCGTGCGATAACATGTGTACTCTGAGATCAACACCAGTGGGGAAGGTATGGGAGCACCGGTCACATGCGAATGGTTTCGTGTGTGTAAACTCGTGTCGCTTCAAAACACGTCTTACTTTAGTCCTAAACTCACAGCCCGTATGCGAGCACTGAATCCACGGCACGTCGGGAAAGGCGTCGGGATGTGCTGTCAACTGATGGAAAGTCAGCGAATATTTTTCGGCATACTTTTGGTGACAGCCATCGAGTGAGCAATGAAACGGCCGTTCCGTCGAATGGTTGAGCTTTTGATGTCTAATAAGGTTTCGCTTTTCATTCGCCCGATAATCACATCCCTGTCTATCGCAGGCATACTGTCCCCTCGGTTTAGTGGCCGTCGAGTGGCTATTAATGGTGTGATTCTTGAACTCAACACTTGATTCGGTCGTATAATCGCATCCACTGTGTCTACACCGGAATGGCTGTCCGGATACGTGTCCACTCGTGTGCCGTTTCACGTGCGCTACAAAATTCGCTTTATATGGCGTAATATAGTCACAGCCCTCACACTCGCACCGGTAGACTGTTTCAGCCGTGTGTATTTTCATGTGTCGAGTCAGTAACCCCTTGTGAGCAAATGTTTGGTCACATCCGGGCCATTGGCACCGCATGTGACGCCCCTTGTTGTGGGTCGCTATGTGTTGCTGTAGTTTCTGGTTATCCATGAATGCATGTCCGCATTGGTCGCACCGGTAGGGCTTTGTATGCATTGGTCACATCCGGGCCATTGGCACCGCATGTGACGCCCCTGGTTGTGGGTCGGTATGTGTTGCTGTAGTTTCTGGTTATCCATGAATGCATGTCCGCATTGGTCGCACCGGTAGGGCTTTGTATGCGTGTTCTTATGGGTAAACATCTGAAGCTTTAGTTTAGTCCTGAACTGACAGTCTGTATGCGAGCACTCCATCCATGGTATGTCCGGAAAGGCGTCGGGATGTAGTCTTAGCTGGTGTTGTCTTAAGTGGCGTTTAGTTTTGAAGGATAGCTGACACTCATTGCCAACCAAACACTGAAACCGGCGTTCCGTTGAGTGTTTCAACTGATGCCTCAAATACTTGGACTTCTTTCCAGTAGTGAACGCACAGCCCTCGTGATCGCACCGGTAGTCTTCCCCGTGAAGATGGGTCGCATGATCACGCAATGCACTCGGGATCAGTGTATTGAACGTACAGTTGGGGACATCGCACCGGTAGGTGACACCTAAGTGAACGTGTTTGTGGTTTCTAAGACTAACCGGATTGTTGAACCTCTGTTTACAACCCACGTGTTCGCAGACATACTGTCCCTCCCGTGGCTTCTCATCACTCGTATGTCCGGACATGTGTTCAATGAATTGGTCTTTAGATGAGGTCTTATAGTAACAGCTGTTGTGCTCACATTTATATGCCTTTCCCAACACGTGTTTGCCTCTAAATTCATGATTCTTGAGGTCAGCCCACGTCTGGAAGTGTTGACAACAGTTGTTGTAATCACAGAAAAATGTTTGTCCCGAATGTGACCTCTGGTGGTATTGAAGACCTCCCAGATATGGGTATGATTTGTGGCAATCGTTGTAATCGCAGACATATTTGCCGTTAATTTTAGTCCTTTTTAAGCGCTTTCTCTCAACACTTGGTTTGCAATGAATGTCTGAATTATGACTAATTTCTTCATCACTCGCACCACAACTGTATTCTTCATCCGATTCCTTGTCTTTCGTCTCATTTCTATTGGATTTAAGTTTTCGTTTCTTCGGTGTCTTTAAAGCACTTCCACTTTGACTGTCGTCTGAATCGTTGGATTCAATACAGACTTCTGTGTCGTTGTCTGAAACCACTTCTTCCTTAACAGTCAAGACATCACTTCTTTGGGACTCATCTCTTGTAATCCTTTCGTCATTCTTCTGGTTATCACGTGAACCACATTTGACACGACTTTCGGTAGCATTCAAAGCAATCAAATCCACTAATTCTCGGATTAAATGCAAATCTATTTGTTTTGTATTCAATAAATGTGTTAAACATTTGTGACATTTGTTTAACAATAAGTCATTTCGCGATAAATCTGTTGACAAACAATTGATTTGACGTTTCAATGCNTTTAACAATAAGTCATTTCGCGATAAATCTGTTGACAAACAATTGATTTGACGTTTCAATGCATTCACTAATGAATACAACTCTTCACGACTTAAATGAGACAACGATTCATACGATTCACTCATTTTCTACACAATTATGCCTTTAATTGCAATCAAATTAAACACAAAAATACAATCAAAACAACAATTCATTTAAAAACAACTTTTGTTTTGTTTACACTTTTATACACATAAATTACGTCCACTTCTTAATAGTTTCAATACTTTTAAATTAGTTTGAAAGTTTAAATTTAATTTATCTATATACAGTATAATTATTTATCTTTAATGATCAAATTTTATTTAATTACTAAACAAGGGAACTAAACAAGTTGCTAAACAAGTTAGCAATCAAATCAAATACAACATAAACCGCATAATCATTATCTTATGAACAATCTGTAAGTCAATGGCATTCCTTCATATGTCTGGTCACTAACGCCGACTTATTGCTGGCAAACATACATCCCATGTATGAGCACTTGTAGTCGTCAGCACCGGGCGAATGCCTGTCCACTCCCAAGTGCTTATTCATATGAGTTCTCAAATTCTCCTGATTTGTAGTCTTGTAGCCACAGTCAGGCCAACGGCACTGATATCCACCCAACTTCTGGCCCCTATGCTTGACCTCATGCCGCCTTAAAGTGGCCTCATAGAGGTACACCCTATCGCACCCTGGCCACACACACTTGTACTTAACCTCCGCTGAATGTATATTAAGGTGTATTTTAAGACCCTCTGGTGTGGCAAATGTCTTGTCACAGCCGGGCCATTGACACTGCAATCGCGTGGACTTGTCGTGTGTTCTCAGGTGTCGTTTCAGTAGATCTGGGAACCCAAAGGTCAGTCCGCACTCATCGCACACATAGGGTTTGGTGTGTCTGTCCTCATGTTTAGTCAAACAACTCTCGACTTTTGTCCGATACTGACAGTCCGGGTGCTGACACTCGAGCCACGGCTTATCGTCAGCGAGTTCCGGGTGTTTCTCCCGGATATGACTGTCCAAACTTTTGCGCACTTTGAATGCCTTTCCACAACCCTTGACCCCACAAGTGAACTGTCGTCCCTCTATGTGCTGCGCCTTATGGTTAGTCAGCGTTGACAGGACACCGGTGGTGAACCCACAGCCTTCGCGATCGCACCGGTACTTCGCTCCGTGTTTAACAGCAATGTGTGCTTTCAGTCGATGCATTAAGTTGTATGTAGCTATACACCCGTCCCCATCGCACCGGTAGATGCCATCCGTGACATGTGAGTGCCGGTGCTTTCGTAATAGAGTGTGAAGACTGAAACTCTGTCCGCACCCGTACTCACACACATACGGCGGTCCGTCCGATGGTTTCAGAAACGTAATGATCGATGACTTCTCATCACTGATATGTCCGGACATGTGTTCAATGAATCGGTCTTTAGATGTGTTCTCATAATCACATCCATTGCGGTCACACCTGAATGCCTGTCCCAACACGTGCTTCCCCT